TCAAGAGGTCATAGTATTTGTCTCCAGCCAAAGTTCTGTAAGATGTGAACTTCTTTTTGGCCTTTTTTCATTTTACGTAATCAGTGCAGCTGAAAAAAAAAAGCCCTAACAAAGCCAGAGAAACACAAAACAAAAACCCTTGAAGCAGGGTTTGGGGCCAGATAATTCTCTGCTATGGGGCGCTGTCCTGTGCCTGCAGGATGTTTAACAGCATCCATGATCTCCACCCACCAGATGCCAGCAGCCGCCCCCCCCCTCCCCCAGTACTGACAGTGAAAAATGTGTCCAGCCATCGCCAAGTGTCACCTTGGGGGCAAAACCACCCCTCGGCGAGAACCACTGCTTTCCACTTGGCTTAACAGTGCTCACTTCTGGAAATTGCTCCAGTAAAGGGGTTTGGAAGACAGTACGGGAACTTCTTGATGTAAAGGACCAAAGGGTAAATAGATTTAGGCTCTGAGAGCCACATGCCATCTCTGCCTCATATTCTTTGTTTTTGTTTTGTTACAATATTTTAAAAATATAAAAACACCTTCTGAGCTCAAAAGTCGGCTGGAATTGGCCCACCCTTAGACTGCAGAGAGAGGAACGATGGCTCTTCCTGCAGTGGCTACAAGTGCTGGGACAGTATTTGGAAACAACTGGAATCTGGATCCAGCTACGAGGTCTTCGTGACCCGGAGCCAGCAGTTTGGCTGCCCTTCTTGGAAAGCCTGAATTAATGAACTCCAAGTTAAACGCTGTTACTCTTGTTTTGCAACTGAGTTCTATTTAACGTATTTAAGTGCAAAAAGTTTTTTTTTTTTTAAATTGAAACTCAGTATTTGAACAAAATGAGATTCCCCCTAATTGGAAGAATGTCTGCATAGTGAGGATGTGTCTTTCCATTGGTTTGGAATAAAATATCCTAGGAGCTTCCTTCAAAGAAGAAGAAGTTGTATAAAGGAAATGCCCCCACACAATTTGAAAACTGAAATATGTTTTAATAGGACTACAGAGGTTATCAAGGAAGGAAGAATGGTATCATGGAAAAAGAGAAGCCTAGAAACTGCAAAAATAAAAACATGTCATTTTGAAAATACGTTTCAAGGTAGTTTCTATGGAGTTTTCTTTACCCCTCACATAAATGTCTGAATAAACTAGGGCAGGTCCATGTTACAAGTAGTTAGTGAGGGTTTAGTGAGGGTTTACAGTGTGCCAGCGACTGTGTGAGGCACCAGGGTTGACTCCACCTGGACAGTGAACACTGCTCAAGTAGGAAATAACGTCACCCAATCATCCAGAGATTTTTCCAGTAAAACATTTTATCTTTCTATCTTGGTGTATTGCTAATTCCACACATCTTATGCTTTTACTTTGGGCATTTAGAGTTTCTCTCTGGGGATTTTCACGGACACCAGACAGAATCAGTCAAGAAAATGTCCTCACCATCCAGCTACCACTGTCAGGACAACACTGTGAGACGAGAATGAGACTTTAGTCAAATATACTTCATTTGGATTTAAAAAATGTACATTTTAAGTCATTCGAGTAGTTTATCATATGCGAGGCAGTAAATTCGAGTGTAGAGTACTGGACGGGAAGTCAAAACCCTGTCCTGTCCTGCCCCTGTCCTCATCTTCTTGCCACAGACAAGTCAGTGAATTTGTAAGGAGCAGATTTCCCCTCCGTAAAATGGGATCACAGCACTTTTACCCTGAGGCATTTGCTGTGTTTAAACGTACTGTGTGTGGTATTCTTGTAAGGACTGGGCTAAACTGGTTCTTCATTTTAGGGATGATTCTGGGATAAATCAAGTAGTGTCCTGGTCACAGCCCGGATCAATTACCAACAAGACCTCCTTACACTTCATTTTTGGTGATCAAGAAGAAACAGATTTATAAAAGCTCATGAGGGGCTACTCTGAAATTTGCTCCAAGATGAACATCATGGATTTTCTGTTAAAATATAATAATGAGCTAAATTTAATCTTCTAGTGAAACGAAGACTTTTAAAGATGTCCAGAAATTAATGGTTGATCCTTTATCAGCACCATCAGGTCCCACCACCTTCACCCCAAATTACCTCTTTGCCCCACAGACCTCAGAGGAAACCATTGCTAGGGACAGTCACCCCTCTCACAGTTTGCGGTAGAAATCTACACTGCACACTCTGAGTATGGCAACCATGTCACCTGCACAAATTTGAGAAAGCTTCTCCGAATGAGACCAGTGTAGATTTTTTTTCTTGGTGTTACTCTCAATTGTATTTAAAAAAAAAAAAAATCAACCTGGGTTTGTGTATTTTGTTGTCATCCCTTCCCAGTCTATTTTTGCTCAGAAAATAGCTGGACTAATATCCCAAGAAAGATCTCCTTCATAAAATGGGTACAACCGCAGAGCACCATGAGGAGTAAATGACACAGCCCTGCAAGGTACTTCCTCTGGTTTCGTAACGGGGCCTGAGAAAGCCTTCATAAAACTCTGCTTATGTTTTGTCCACTTCGTTTCAAATGTGATGCCATCAAATAGACAGGAGCTGGATGGTGCTGTGTGCAATGTTAGCTGTCAGGGCTATCCTAGATTCCAGCAGCAAAGTATCAGAATAACACTAGTACGCGCAGAAACAGTGACTCTAACCCCTGACACCTTTTGTAAAGGACACATCTTCATCTCATGGGAAGAAAGACAAATGATGATAAGTGCTCATTTCCCCACTTCACATTACCATGACTACTGGAGGTCCATTTTTCTGTTCCCCAGCTCCAAACCGTCCAGATATAAGAGTTAGATGTAGAAAGAAAAAAATGGATATATAAAATTGAGGCAATTCCCTCAGTTTCCTAGGTCTGAGTTTTTATAAATTGTATGAATTCATTTGGCCAGAGAGCCATCAGCTTGAAATGGCTTCTGACCACTATTTGACTTGGTTTTGATTTTCCCCAGACACCTAGCACATGAAAAACCATCTTGAATCTGAAAACAATTTACTGACAAGACAGCTGTCCTTTAAAGTTGCCCTTTAGCCATGGAGGCAAAGACAGCCTCCCTTTCTCTCCAGTCCCAACTTTCTCTGATAATACGGTTTTGTGTCCTGAACAGATCAAAATCAAATAGAAGAGAAACAATCCTGTTGAAGAGAGGTCTGATGTGCCTGTTGATGTCTCATTAACCTTGAGAGTGAATGTAACTGGTGAGTGCCCGTCACAGTGGCGTGACGGTTTGTTGGGGGGGGAAAAGCCAGTAGAAACATCACCTTGGAAAAAAAAATACAAAGAGAAACATCATTTAGTAGATCATCTATCAAAACGTGGGGCAGCTTTCCAGCTGTCAGGACTGGCTAAATTATAGTTTCCTTAAGCCTGTGATGAAACTACTATGTGTTTTCTTGGGGAAGCATTTGGGGCAGTATTTTTCTGTGTGTCAGAATATGTTCACTGGAGTATTGAGACAAAAAAAAAAAATAAAAAAACAACAACAAAAAACCCCCTCACTTCGATGTTGGAAGCATAATCATGAGAAAAGCAAATATTTCCGACCACTGTTACTAAGGTTCTGTGATGATGTGTGTGCCATTTAAAATATCACAAGCCACTCAACGTGGGAAGGTCCTAATTCCACTGGATCCCTAGTCGGGTTCCCCTCATTACTAATTGCCCACAGGTAACACATCAACAGAGAGAGGGAGGGAAATAACACAAGAAAATTAGCTGGTCTCCAGGGATATAGAGAGTACCTGTAGAGGGAAAGAGGAGAGAGTTCCGCAGGTTCACTGGCTCACTCCCCATGGCATAAGTGGACTAGAAATCTAACCGACCTCTAATCGCAGATCTGGACTGGAGACCCTCACAAAACCAGCCCCTTTTATGCCTCTGCCCCAGGGCTCCAGCTGGGACTGGTTGTCCCCTGCCCTCCGCAGAGGGGCACCTGAAGTAAACAAGCCCCACAATTCCCACCAGGGTCTTGGATGGAACATTCTCACCTATTTTTGCTTTTCTCTCTGAAGGTCTCCACTTTTCCATCTCTAGTCCTCACTCCTCTGCTTTTCTTAGGAACTTCCTGAAAGTTATCACCATTAACCTCACTTTTTACATCAAATTTCCACCTCAGGCTGACGGCACAACCTGTTTCCAAGAGCGTCCCCCTCTAACCAGCTGCTTGGTTTCCTGTGCTTTTCTTAGGGCCACACAGCTGGGCTTCTGTCCTCACCCTTCTGGCTCTGCCCCTCACCCTCACGCCCAAATGCACCCAAACAAAAGTGGATTAGTCGAATCCCTGTTTTCCCAAAGAAGTTTTTGCATTTCGGAAGAAGGGAGCTACTTGTGCAACACAAAATAACTGCGAACGACAGACACCATTTCCTACCCCGAAAGACAGAGATGGCCACCTCGCTCTGGGAAGAGGGCAGCAGGGCAGCCCCGCGTCCTAGCCAGGGACCACACTTCTTTCTGGGTGGGTAGGAGACATTTTCCTCACCATCCCGCCTCACATTCCTTTGCCCCCTCACGGCCCCGGCCCCTCCGAGCAGCCTTTCTGAAATCACTCCAAAGGTCAGAGGACGGGGGTAAAGAATGGGGACAGGGAAGAGGGGTCTCTGAATCCTTCCCCCCCCCCCCCAAGCGTAATATTTTGTTTTCAAGTACCAGGACTTTCTACAATGACTTCTCTTGTTCTGCTCCTTCTTGGCCCAGTTACCCCCAAGCCTCCCCACCCCCAAGACCACTGCGACCAAAACAAGCGCACGGACCACAGCACCGTGGCTGCCGCCGCCCCAACTGTTGCAGCAGCTGCCGGGGTGGCGGCGACAGCGGCGAGGGCAGGGCCGGGCCCGGACCCGGACGCTCCCCGCCCAGGAGGCTAGGAGGCTCCGGGCGGCCTCCGAGGGGCGCGCGGTGCAGGGGAGCCCCTGCGGCAGCCGCCTGGGATGGGAGAGGCGGCGCTCTCAGCCCGGACCCCCGCGCAGAGCCAGCCCAGCCGCGGCAGCGGCGCCGGCTGAGGCTGCCCGCGCCCGCCCCCCTCTCACCTTTAAGATCAGGTCGGTGTGATGCTGGTCCAGCATGTTGGCTTTCTGGAAGGAGGTGACGATGACCCGACCGTAGCGCCCGGGGGTCTGCAGGTCTGAGTAGAGTCGGTGCTTGGAGCGGTTGACTGGGAAGAGGCTGTTGACGAGGTTGCGCTCGATCTTGGCGAGGCTGTGCTGGGGCGCCAGCAGGTGCTCCACGCTCTCCTCGACCTGGTAGCGGCTGAAGCTGGCGCCGAGCAGGATGGAGATGAGCACGGGCGCCGAGGCGAAGAAGACCGGGTGACTGGCAATGAAGTGGCCGAGCCGGGAGAAACACGTCCTCAAGCCCCTGTGCAGAACCTGCCGCAGCATCCTAGAGCAGAGCGGGCGCGGGAGGAGGGCG